TATGTCTTGTAGACATGGAAAATAGTCCATGCTTCCTCAAATATCTTCAGACCGCAGGTTTTCAAGCTGTTGTTGGTATTTTAAAAAAGCTTTTGGAAGATAAATTTGTAATTAGATTAAGATGTAATTAGATTAAGGTTTTCTGGGTGTTTCCCTTCAATAATTGTTACTGTTAACTCTGATCAAGGTAGGTGGAAGCAGGCCTGGAACTAACTTTCATCATCATGAAAGAGCTCACCTTCATGAGTAAGAAAATAGTTGTTCTGTCTTTAGTCAAGAGAAGTAGAAAACCTATTTCTTGTTAAAAAGAAGTGAAAGCCATGAAAGAATGATGATGCTTCTGTCTGTTTGGGGCAATATGATAAGTCAGGATCAGTTTGATGCGCTCTCCAACACTTTTGAGTGTCTTTTTTACAACTCCTATGGGAGGAGTGAGTGCCTGTGATGGAAGTTCTGACTGAACATCTGTAGGCAGAGAGAGGTGAATCTCAGCTCTTATTCTTTTTCTTTCTGCTGTGAGGCAGAAGTTGTAGTTTAGGCAGGCAAATTTGGCTTTCACTTCCATTTTTTTTTCCCATCTGTCCGAAGACTGTGATTCAGGATACAACAGTTAAAAATTATTCTCTTCCCCCTGTTCCCCTCCTTCCGTTACAGCTGGCAGGCAAGATTTGACTTGTGTGTGTTAATGAATGCCTTTTTCTGAACAGCAGGTTAGCATGACAGACCATAGATTCTCAGAACTGTGAGCTGCACGCAGTTATCTTAATTTTTTATCTTTCAAAATACTGCAGCCAGGAAATATTTAAGGATTCTCATGTATTTTCTCAGTACTGATGCACTTGAAGTAGGATAAGGGCCTTTATTGCAGGAAGCAGTACATTAAGACATGTTTATGGATATAATTTTCAGAGATGATCATGCCCCATTTCTTCTATTTTTTTTTTGTTCTTGAGCTACAATGAATTCACTGTTTTTCCAGAGAAGGCACAGCTGAGTTTCTTTTTGATGTTTGGCCAGGCAACCTTTATCAGTGAGTTTTAAAAGACAGCAAAACAGAGATGATGCTCCAAATGCTCAGAGCCTTTTGTTTTTTTCTCCCTAAGTATTTATTACCATCAACCGCATTAGGAAGGGAAGAAGAGTAAGAACCCCGTCTTTATAAAAATTGCACTGGCTCTTAGCAAAGCACAGGAAAAAAGCAGAACTTCAAATGAAGAAAAATGTTCTCTAGCTCAAGAATACGTGGGCAGTCTTGCTGACTCAGAACGTCTGAACTGTGCTCTTACAGCTTGTACATGCCTCTATTTCTGTACTTGTTTTAATTGGCAGATACTAATAGTTTCCTGCCCACAGGAGGAATATGAAGATTATTCAGTGCTTCTAAAAAAGATAAGCAAAATTGCCCCTGCAGAGTTGCCTGTGATTTTATGAAGAAGGTGCAACAGGGCTGAAAAACTTGCTGGTTTATTTTGCTGGCAGTTAGAATAATTTTTGCTGCTCACTGGAGAAAATGTTGGTTTTCCTCACTATTTGATGGACTGGACTGTCCTGTGACGATTGAACTGAAGCAGGAGGGAGGTGATGCAAGAGCTGTGCTATACAGCAGGTCTGCCAAAGTATGTGCTCTCTGAAGAACCAGACCTGGATCCCTACAGGACCCATTAATTTGCTGCCTGTAAAATCTGCAAATTAGGGAGTTTCTGTACTAGTCTGTGCAACGGGAAGATGACGTTAAGGCTCTAGTCTTTTGCCTTTAACACATAAAGGTGTAAGCAGCTGTTGGTTTATGGATATGAAGAGGCAGAATAGTTATCAAAAATACTTTAAGGATGGCACTGAATGCAGTTCTGATTCATATAATCATAGAATCATTTAAGTTGAAAAACACCTTTAAAATCATTGAGTCCAACTGTAAACCTAACACTGCCAAGTCCACCACTACACCATGTCCCGAAGTGCCACATCTACACGTCTTAAATACCTCCAGGAATGCTGACTCAGCCATTTCCATGGGCAGCCTGTTTCAATACCTGACAACCCTTTCAAGTTGTCAAAATCAACATTTTTCTGAATATCCAATCTAAACCTCCCCAGGCACAACTTGGGGCTGTTTCATTTCATCCTATGACTTGTTATGTGGGTGAAGAGACCAACACCCACCTCACTCCGTCCTCATTTCAGGTAGTTGCAAAGAGTGATACGATCTCCCCTGAGCTTTCTCTTCTCCAGACTAAACAACTCCAGTTCCGTCAGCTGTTCCTCATCCAACTTGTTCTCGAGACCATTCACCAGCTTCTTTACCCTTCTTTGGACAAGCTCCAGTACCTCAATGTCTTTCTTGTAGTGAAGGCCCCAGAACTGAACACAGTATTCAAGGTCTGTGGCTTCACCAGTGTGAGTACAGGGGGACAATCCCTTCCCTAGTCCTGCTGGCCACACTATTTCTGATACAGGCCAGGATGCTGCTGGCCACCTTGGCTGCCTTGGGCACAAACTGGCTTATGTCCAGCAGCTGTCAGTCAGCACCCCCAGGTCCTTTTCTGCCAAACAGCTTTTCAGCCACTCTTCTCCAAGTCTGGAATGTTGCATGGGGTTGTGACCCAGGTGCAGGACCCGGCACTGAGCCTTGTTGAACCTCATACCAATGGCCTTGGCCCACCAATCCATCTGTTCTGATCCCTCTGCAGAACCTTCTTACCTCAAGCAGATCAACACTCCCACCCAGCTTGGTATCCTCTGCCAACTTATAAGGGTGCACTTGATCCCCTTGTCCAGATCATTGATAGATGTTAAACACAACTGACACCAATCCTGAGCCCTGGGGGGCACCACTTGTGACCAGCTGCCAACTGAATTCAACTTCATTCACCACCACACTTAGGGCTTGGCCACCTAGCCAGCTTTTTACCTAGGAAAGAGGTGGAGGGCAAAATTCTAGTTAACATTTTGTGCCCATAACTACCAATAGGCAGCAGTGAAGTACTAGTGTGAGGGACAGCATAATAAGCCTTTTTCAATGGCAATGGCTTGGTTTGATCAAGAAACAGGCTTTCTCAAAGAATGAAGCTGCAGACCTGATGAACATGTGACTATCACTGTGCATCTGGCAAAAGTTTTATATCACCCATACCTATATGGACAATTTTGTACTCCTTGTTTAGGCTCATCTGCCTTTGCTACAGGATGCTATGTGCTGGTGAAGGACTTACAGTGACAATGATGATTATTTCATTTCTCTTGAGCCTTTTTGTGTGGAAAATAGAACAAATAAATTTTTCTTGCATGCTTTTCTTATGTTTCTGCATTCAGTTACAGTGTACACACCTTAATTTAGAAACTCAATACTCATGAGACACCAGCTTTTAAAACAGGTTACTACAGAACTGCAGTCTTGCAATAAAAGAATGGGTAGTGTTTATTCTACACTACAGTGTTTTTACTCAGCAAAGTATCAGAAACTCCTTGCTAAAAGTGATGTCATGTTTTGGAGTTTGAGTAATGTTACTACAGTAAAACATGCATTAACAATCAGTTAGATTACAAGTGAGTAATAACATAGAGATCCATTAGTATATTAACTTGTTGGCAGTAATAAATAATTATTCATCATCGCAATCTCTTCTTGACATTTCTGCTGCTGAAATTTTTAGTGAGACTACAAAATGTTCTCAGATATATTAGAAATCTGTTGATGGATGTTCAGTTGGTATAAAGCTCTCAGAGCAAGCTATGCTTCTGGATTGCTGCCTAGTTAATTGGTGATTAATGAAAGCAACCAGTTTGTATATGACTTTGGAAGCCTGTGTTCTTGGCATTGTTGAGGTATGTAAATGTCTTCCTCAGATAAAACATGACAGGCAACACCTAAAATACAGCTGCTTTATTCTGGTACCTGTCAGATCAAGGGAAAGGTCTGGATTCCTAAAGCTATGAATTTCACTGGGAGATGAGCTGGCAAATACTCTGTACGTAGTACTTTCTGTGGCATCCTCTCAAGGCATTTTGCATAATGAAGGGCAAAATCAGCAGATGAGACATATTGATGTCATTGTTCAAAAATTCGCTGCATTTTTAAATGAAGACCTGCAGGCTGTTCAAAGTAAACCTTTTTTAAAAGGAAATGCCCCTTAAAAAAAAAAAAAGAAAAAAGAGAGAGAAAAGCAAATGACCTTTTCAAGCGCTCTACTACAGGAATGGCTGGATATCTGAAACTTCAGAAGAAAGTATTGGTCTAAAAAATCCAATTACTAGGTGAAATCCTGGGTAGTGATAAATGCTTGCAAAGTCCTCTGAAATTAGTAGGAATTGTGAGTGCTTGACACTTTATCAAATTTTACTCAGAGTCTGTAGGAGCAGCCTCTTTCAACTGTTGGTAATTAAATGGTTATTCTTGCAATGGAACTGCAAGCAGCACTAGCCACATTGCTGCAATCATTACCTTGCAATTAATTCTTTAGGGCTTTCAGAAATAGCTCTTGAAGCTGACAGCTGCAGCCTGCAACATATCAAATGCTTTATGTAGCTACTTTAATGAAAACTCAGATGAGTGTAAGGTCAGTCTATCCACAGTTTGTTCTAATTACGTTTCCACTTTTCTTTAAAAAGCAAATCACATCTGGCCCAAAGACAGAAGCTCATTGTGCCAGACGTGTAATAGAATAGGTGTGGCTTTTTACTTCTTATTTCTGAAAGATAATGACATGGAAAACTCATTCTCTTCTACTCTTTAGTAATCCTCCATCTGTTATTGTATTTGTGTGTGCAACTGGATACAAAAGCTAGTCACAAACCTTTGCATTAAAAGTTTTTTGTTAGCTCTGATGTCAACTTCAGATTATGCAGACAAGGTTGTTGAAGCAGAAATGTTGCAAAGCAGTGTGCAACATCACTCAACTGTATATGCAAGGCAAGATTATTAATACCACAGCATCCATGTAAAGTAGCTGCTACAAATTTCCAGGACATTTTAATAGCTTATTGTTCACTTTATTATGTTCTAGGTGGGTCTTCTAGTTCCTTGGAAAGCTGTCTTTACACTTAGAGCAGAATGTCAATATTTCTATCTCATGGAATTTAATCTGAACTCATGGAAGAATTTGCCTCAGTGTACTTCTGATATTCCTGTCTGAGATGAGCAATTTGGAGACAGTATTTCTATCACTTGTGAAATAGCATGCGTTCTAACCAACAAAAGGACAAAATCTACTTTTCTAATTTTGGAGGAGGGGTGGAAGCATGGAGATGATATCCGGAGGTGATACCACAGTTCTGATGATGGATCCTGGCATACCAAAGGAACTGCCAGGTGTGTGCCAGACTTTTCACTTAGTAACATACGCATGGCCAGACTTCAGTAAATGGGGGCAGAGTGAAAAAATCTTGTGTTGATTCGTGACTCCTTTAGTGCCCATCATTTCAGAAGAGCAGAATTTCATTACAGTATTTTCAGCTCTCATGAATTGTTGGTGAGAAACAGCTCTGAATCATGAGAAGGCTAATTCTTAGTGGAGATCTATCCTCTGAGTATAGGTGGCCAAAGTGAGAGGTAGGGAATATGCAAGGAATCCAGTCATAATAGATGAAAAAAATTCGGAAGAAAAAAAAAAAAGGAGGGATAAGAGGTTGCTTTAAGCTCAGTGGGGTGAGATTAGTGTATTGCTCTTTGAAGCCAGCCAGTCGCAGAGGCTGTAATAGCAAAATACTAGTTTAATGACTTTTGTGAAAAAGTGATACTCTGGAAGGCAGTGATCTTCTATTTTTTATTTCCCCTCTTTGTGTGAACAACATTCATTCAGGAGGCCTAATTGAAGAATTTGAATAGTTCCATTTAAAGCAATAAGATTAATCAAGCTGGAAGCCAACTACATGGTTAAGTATCTTCCTAAACAGCTACCCCTGAATGTAGAACAATATTGGCTCAGGCTTCCTTGGGGGCCTTTTGTTTTGCAATACTACTTCTAGTGTAGAAAATAGGCACAGTAAATTACTAATCTGATCTATCGCGGTTCCCCATGAATGTTGCACGTAAATCCCCTAAATATCAAACTTTTTTTAGCTTTTTTGGTTTTATTCAGTACAGTCATATCCTCCATTATTTTATCTATATTTTAAGAGATATTACAAAGCTTGTAAAGGTGTTTTATAAGTAAATCATTAGTTATTTATAGGTAACAGTAAAAACTGATGTAAGATACATATGCATATCAGAATACAAAATATTTAAGTAAAATGAATATGTTCCTGTCCCTTAGTTGGGAAGGTACTTTACTCATCTCATACTAAGTTTTATATCCTGTGTCTTTCCTTCTAGAATATATGTGAGTATAATGAAAAGTGTCAGCGTGGATAGATTTTATTCTTTTTTGGAAGGCTCTATCCTTTTTTATTCATTAGCTCTGTACATGATCAAGGAGATTGTTCATTCTGCAAAGAACAGCTTCTTTGGAGAAGTGCCACAGAACCACCTGCGTTGATGTGAAATGCATATGTGTTCCAGATGTAGGTAATGGAGAAAATCATCAGACTTGGTGGGAGCTGGGTACTTTGACTGTAGCCATCCCCCTTCAAATCTTAGTTTTGTTTTTCTGAGCATAACCAGTACATTGTTATTCTAACTTTGTGACATGTGCCTTGATCTGTTTTCCTAATCTCAGATTAGTGTTAATTTCATTTGTACAGTACTAACCATTTAATTAAGAGAACATTATATTTGCATGTAAAGAATTCAGAACTTAGGCCTGCGGTGAAAACTTCTATACATTGAAGTCTTGGTGTGTAGTCTTCTTTGTATGAGCACCTTCTTATTATAATGGCAGTGGTGTTTATGAATATTGTACATTTGTTATACTTCAAGGAGATATATCACAGTTTTTGGTTTTTGCATATCTGCTAGATTGTCAAAAGAAAATGTATATTTGCTAAAACAAAAATCCCATGTTTTAAAGGACCAGTGAGGTGCATCACCTTCATTCTGTCTGAAGCCAATTAAGTGTGAGTATTTCTAGGTAGCATTTTTAACCTGATGGCTTGTGAGTCCCAAACTGTGGGTGAAGAAAGGGCATAAGGTGTTGAAAAATGATACCACACATGAATAGATGCCCTCTGTTTCTGGCAACTTTTGTAGATAGGTATTTTCTGTCATAAAATTAATAGATTATTTAAAAGTTTGACTTGCAAATAAGCAGTTGACCTGAAAACTGTGTAAACCATGCCTAAACTGTGCATTGCATATGCTTTTTAGACAAAGCTTGCATTTAAGGGGAAAAAAAAGCTGGTAGCCAGTTTGGAATTTACGTTTTTGGCAGCTTCGTGCAAAAGTTACAGTTTGCAGTCTGGCCTGAGCCCTCCAGAGGAAGCAGACTGAAGATAGAGTCACAGTTTGTGATTCATTTCATTTCATGACATTCTTTTAGCCACAGGAAAATTTTTCTTATGGTTGTTGTGCTTCAGTGTTTATGAATTTCACAGCGAGAAACATACCTAAGGAACCTGCTGACCATAGTAAGCATATGATCTAAGTGACTTACAAGTAATGGATGAGCAATTCATTTTGAGTCAGAACGAGTTATGGTTTAGAAGAGAATGTAATCTGCAGCAAAGGTTTTAATGCAACCCTGAGAATATTCAGGATAAGTTTTGTTTTATTTAGTACTTTCAGAGGTCTCTTAGTGGAAGACGAATATTCACAGTTCAGAAAGGGTGTTGATCACTGGTGAGAAGAGCCAGTGGAATAATTAAAGCATATGAAAAAAAGTATTAAAAAGGAAGAATTCCAGGAGCTCAATCTTAATCCATCAAATTTAAGGTGAAAGGGTGGTTGTAGTAGTCATTATATGAGAAATATAATTTGTATGTTCCCATAATATATTAGAAATATAATTTTCCTATGGACGGCTTTCTGAAATCTATCTGATGAAAATCAGAGCAAGTTATGATGTTTGCAGTTGACAAATTGGGAGTCGGGGAATTAAATATTACATAAACAATTGGACCCCCCTGTTTGCCAGGGAAGCCATGGATTATGCTTCATTGGACACATCTTAAATCAAGAATAGGTATTCCTGGAATGAGTTTTGACTTTCAGTTTCATACCCTTGCTTTTTCAGTTTTTGTGTTATCCTTGACAAGAAAGTGTTACATGTTGGTTACAGTTGTTTTGGATGTGGACTAGTAGCCTTTAATGCATGCTTGTTTTTTCCTTAGGACCTACTATGATTTTTAAAGTCTATTTGTAGAAACAAATAGCTAAAACATTCCCCTTTCCCAGTTAGGAGCCAAATTGCACATAGTTTTCTGTGTTCACTGAAGGTTATGTAGATGTTTGACAATTTTAATTTAAAGAGGGTTAAACTTTCGCATATTGTTTACAAATTAGGTTCTATAAAACATCCTGACTACATGGAAATGACAGTGATTGATGTGCAGTAACATACACACAATTAATACTGAGTGAATTGCTAATTACAGGATTGCATCTCATTTGCAATGACATGCTGCAGGTCTCTTGCAAAAAGAACTGGCAGTGTTGTCATGTTATTTCTCCATTTCCCTCAGCTTATAGTTTGATGCTCTATAGTTAAAGTTTGACTAAAGATTCATTCTCATTTTGGAAAATCTCTTGCAATGTAAGAAAAGCCTTAGGATGAAAAGCAAAATGGTCGCCACTCCTCAAGAATTAAATCCCTCCTGATTCTTCCTTCTATCAAAGGAGATAAATTGCTATGCTGTTCTTACTTGATTTTATTAGTTACACTAGGCTTTGTTACCCTTTTTGCTTTATTTCCCTGGCATGCAGAAAAAGTAAATACTACTGCTAGAGAGGTAACTTACCCAGGAATCTGGCTTGAAAAGAAAGTACATTTAAAATGGTACATTTTATTAAGGCAACCCTTGTGTCTGGAAAATGTACAGTAGTAAATTTCAGAAGCTGTGTTTTGCAGTGGCCCTTAAAACAGTAGTTACATGTATTAATTGCTGGGGTTCACAGAAACAGACTGGCCAGATGCAGTCTCCCAGGCGCGAAACTCCTGAGCATCTTCTGATCTGGTCACCTTGCTTGGCCACATGTGTACAAGGAACAGTGTGGCTATTCAGTGCCTAGAACGGTATTATTTGTAACAAGATCAGTAAGGTTGGAAAGGATTTTAAAATAACTGCTGTGGTTTGGCAAGTGCATATCTGTGGTGTAGGTAGAGAACAGGGGACAGCAAGTTCAACAAGCAGAAACACGGAATGACTGCACTAACACTGACAATGAAACCAGAACTTGGTAAGAAAAAAAAAAAGAAAAAAAAAAGAAAAAGTGTCTGTATGGGGGGTTCCCAATGCTACAGAGCTGCTACTATTTCTGACACTGACTTACTGAATAAGGAAGCCAATGAGATGTAACCCCAGCAGTCCTGTGGGTTTTGCCACAGGCTTTCTCAGAAACAGAGACCCTGTTTGTGTATGGAAAGCGCCTTTTGCCTTACGTGATGTCAGAGGTGCATACACACTTTATGATATGATTCTTTCATCTGGTACGTTAATTAATTTACAAGAGCGATGTATGAACTGTGGTCCCTTTGGCCTATATAGAGGATCAGAAAGGGGCTCAGTCAAACTGAGTCCAGAAATATTTATGAGTATGAAATATGAGGAGATCTAAGTAGAAATACAGAGAAGGCTGAGTTATGCATGGATATCCTAAGGCAGAAACATTTCTTTACCTTCAGGAATAACATAATGTGTAGAGCAGACCCCTGCATTCCCTTAAGCATTCTCACATCTGCCCTGCCTGCAAGGAAGAAGATTCAGGCACACCTTTTAATCACAAGGCCTGCAAAATGAAAACAGTTTATTGTTTGTGGTTTTTTCTGTTTGTTTTGTGGGTTGTTTTTTTTTTTTTTGGTTTGGTTTGGTGTTTTTTTGTTTTTGTTTTTTTGTTTTTGGGTTGGTTTTTTTTGAAGAGATAGCTGCGTTATTATTTGCATGGTTTATCTGAGACATTTAATTTCAATGATACCTGTAAGTGTACACTATCCAGTGGAACTGACTTACAGATATAATTCTAGCATTTTTTTCTTGGTGCTTGTAACATTACAATCGTGCAGGACAGTCTTATCTTGGACTTTATCCTCAACATGGGTGCTTCAGTTAAATGGCTAAAGTTAGGTGAAATGAATGAAAGTTCTCACAAATACGTAAAAAAAACCCCACAACCCAACTCTTTAAAAGATCTTGTGTGAGTTTTTTATAATTGAGGGAACTAAATCAGCAGGTGTTCAAGTTACTCCATGCCTTACTGAGGATTGGTAAGAACACTGGGGGACAGAAACGTTGTCTTGTAAGTAATTATTCAGTGGGTGATGTGGCAACAGCTTATCACTCTGGCTGTGCTATTTGTTTACAAAATTGA